TTATTTACAGTGCACATGCAGATGGTTGTAAAAGCCCTCCTGCTTATACACATCACATCCACAAATGCATGCACCAGCATGGGCACCAACATGCACCCACCCACTCATCTACATACAGGCAAAATTGAAAAAGGGCGCGTTTTTTTTCCACCAGTCTGTTGGTTTGGGTGCTAATTTTGGCATGTGGCTCCGTCTGGGCCTCAGCATCATTCCCAGTCTGGTGCCCCCTCTGTCTTTTGCACCCCATCCACGGTGACAATGGTGGGAAAAAGGGGGACCGTAGCCTCGTCAAGAGCGCCCCTCACAATGCCGCCATTGTAGAGCAGAGAGGGCGATCAGAATAATAATGTAGCACTGTCCAACTGTTTACCAACACGCAGCCTACAGCTGCACATTTCACCCCAGAAATTTCTGTACCAACCTTCTACAGTCCTATGAGGAGGTTAACTGGTGTTTACTACACAGGCAGGAGGGCAAGGATATGTACTGATCAGAATTTGTGGCCAGAGCACACAAGGTCTGAAGAATGCCAAACCTTGACAAAAACACAAGGTTTTGCCTTAATGTTCTACAATATTAGCACAAGCAGTTCAACGCACACCAAGACACCTACACTTATATCTAATAAATCCAATATTTCTGCATAACAAAATTCACCAGCAAATATTCCAATATGTGTGTGAATTACTTAATATAGCACTTTTATTTGGGTCAAACAATGCAGTTGAATCCAAAACCTTCATTTATTTTGTTATAAATGCACGCATTTTAAACATAGCTAACTAATCTGTTCAGTTTACATATACAGTACTGTGAAAAGTCCACCCTTAATTTATTTCATTTACAGTCAGAATAGCCATTAATTATTCATTTCTCAGGAGACATTATAGAGACGATCTGATATAAGCTGATAAACCTTGCATAAAAAAGGAGAAAGTCAAAGGAAATCCGGTGAAAAAGCAGCACCTTTCAAAACTGGAGAACAAAAATGACTTAAACAGAGATGATGGGACTCCTAACACCTATGCAAAACCTGGTAGACCAACAAAACTGTCCTCATCAGATAAACATAAGAGAGAAGAGAAAGTCAAGCTGCTTCAGATCTGAAAAAATCTACAGGTGTTTCTGTCCATCTTTCCACTGTGAGAAGACAATTCAGTGCTATGAGTCTGAAAGAATGTGTAGCTGTTAAGAAGCCCTCACTGAGAAAAGGAGAAAAAATATGCAAATAAAACAAAAAGCCCTGGCCAGTCCAGAGTCCAGACCTCAGCATCACTGAATGTATTTGGGATTACTTGAATTATGAGAATGCAACCAAATTCTAAGACTGAACTTTGGAGTTGTGGAAAAATACCTGCAGGATTCTTTGAAAAAACTGAAAGCAAGTCTTTTTAATAAGCTGCAATAAGAGCAAGTGTGGACATACTAAATACTGAACAAATTATATTCAGATGTTGAGGCTTCTGTATAATTTTATGTCCCTGCTTTTTTCCCCGATGGTGAAAACTGAATAACTTGTACTTAACGGCCATTCTGACTGGAAATTCAATTAAAAAAGGTGGTCCCATTCAGCACAAAATAGGCATATTCCACTGTGCGATTTAGCTATAGCCTTATAGTAGTCGGTGGTCAGATTAATAATGAATAAACATATATTTAATATATAACCATATATAACAATATTACAGGTCTTCATGTAAAATGCACAGCTTTTCATTCAAAATATTAATGAAAAAGGCAAGTGTGTGGTTTGTGTAGTGCCCCAAAACAATTAGTGGTGATTGTACTGATTCTGTATTGTCTATTATGTCTCAAAAAACACCATTAACCGCAGGACGCAGATACACTTCACGCTGCTGAAAAACGCGGCGGCCGTTAGCGTTAAAGCACAACAACAATGCTCATTTCAAATCGCCATTTGCATATTGGAAACTGGAAAAATCTGGTACAGGATTGGCACCGTGCCAAGTGGCATAATTAACACTTTTTTGCCAACGCTCCGCAGCAGCCACATTATGCACTGACAAACATCCACTCCCCCTGCCAGTGTACTTATTCACACACACACACACACACACACACACTCTCTTTCTCGCTCACTCTGACTCGTTCCCAGATACACAAACACCATTTGTAGTATAAATTAAATTTTTATGCTACTGCATACACACACCATGCAATAGTGCTATACACTATAACAGCACAATCTCTTTACATTGGTTTCTGTACTAAATTGTGATTGCATCTAAGAGGCAGTAAAGGATTTTTTTTGCATAAAGCACTGAGAAATGCAAAGCAGGACTGAAACCCCTCCCCCTCTCCGATGGAGATGCACTGCCTAATTAGAAAACAGCTATTAAAGGCACAGCTCTCTCATTTCAACAAGCCTTTTTTTTCTGAACAGAAATAGTGTGCCAAATAAACTGAACCACATCTAAATCCTGTAGAGGATACTGTATCCATATTCATACATACATGCAAGTAATTTCATCAAAATAATTTAATATTTCAGCAGTATTTTTAGGTAAGGATTTTATGTTGAATAGTCTAAGTGATTACCTTAATCCTCTAATACATAAAGGCCTAAACTGCTTTCTATTTCAATAGACTGGTCTTAGATTTCCCAATAGGTGTAATGTAGAATATTTGGTTGGACCTTGTATGCATTTACAGCCACTGTAAACACACTACAGCCTGTTCACATAAAACAAACAACATACACTTTAACAAAAGCAGCTCATCTAGCTTGTTTAACCATAAATGCATATGAATGAGTGCATCACTATTACTCCAAAAAGGCACAACATTAATGTACACAGTCCATAAGGTGGCAAATTTCAGCTAAACCTTGTCCGAATGGCCTCGGCTGCACTAAAGCGCTCCTGCGCCTTTAATTGGGGGCTCGCTCCTCTCTGCTCGTTCCTATGCAATTATGTTAATATGGGGATCTGCTCCTTTTTCATTAACAGGCAGCGGTTGCATCATTGTTTCCTTTATTTTTAAGCCTCTGCGTCGTGTAGCGAGCAGTGCTGATCCTATGCTTATGCTTTTTTTTCTCTCCGGCTGGCTCGATATTGGCACACCTCTGAAGAAACTGAGACAAAAAAATATTATGGCTGTTTTTTTTCCCATTTGCATGCTCATTTGAATGGGCTGCTCGTACGTAGATTAGCAGAAAGGTTGGTCGCTGATTGCCGTGCTTTCTTGGGAATACTGAGATCATATTAGACACACAAGGTCCAGCGTGCAGTAAGTATGCAAATATACATATATATCTTTTTCCCTTCAGGTAGACGATATTTAAATGGCTTTAAATATTCAAAAGATGACACATCCGTTTTGATCATTCATCATTGCATTGATCCTATCTGCTTAGTATTCGTAATGTCCGTTTTGCTTAAAAGTCACGATCCAGTCGATTTGTCATCATGAAATAAACGCTCTTTGGGATGGTTCCCTGCCCGGCCCCAGCATTTAGAGCATTAAAACAGACAAATGATAATGTTTGCATACCATCAGCAATCGATGTGAGGACAGCGGTGACCTTTTAATGCCACATAGCATGATACTGCCATTCCATCTGAGTGACAAAACATGCAGAGGCCTCTCTCTTTTTCCTCGTTGCTCGGCGAAGGGAGCCCTAGCTGTACATACTGCACCACTTCTACTGAGTCCACTTACAGGATGTGCAGAGAGTTTGCAATGCCATGCTTTTAAGGCTCTGGCAGCGGCCTTGAAACCCCTTCTTAAGCTTATGTGCTACTCAGTGTGAGCACCTGCATGAAGCCTATCGGCAAGGAGGACAAACGAATCCTACTCAATAATGAAACGGAGAGCACTTCAGCATGGGCCGGCTTTGGTTCACTGGTCAAGAGGATGTCAAACTATATCATTGCACTGACTTGAGGCCAGGAGTGAAGTAGTTATCTCTTCACTTTTTGGAGAGTCTACTACTATTTTCATCAAAAAAGGACTTCTTCTCAGTGAAGTGACGCTTAACTGATCATTTAAAAAGCTTTCGTTCTTTTATACACACTTCACCCTTACCTTTCCTGGTTTTTATACCCCAAACTAGGACGATTATGAATATGCTTAATCATGGAAATGTGACATGTGTGAGATTAAGATAACAGCACATACTCATAACCGTCACTTCCATTTCATCCCAAATGACTAAATAAGTAGGCTTCATTTCCGTTCATAAGTCATTACATTGCATGGTGTGTGCAGATGTGCATGTGCATTACTTGTAAGGGCCCACATCCTGCATTTTTCTCATCTTTTATTACGTCCGCTTATAATATTTGTGTGGGTTCATACACCAACAACAGTTCTAATTCATTTTTATATACCCATTTTATTGTTTAGAATTAAATTAATTGCTGTGTCTTATGTAAATAATCTCTGTTCTGACTGAGACTAAATCAAGAAGCAGTCCAGGCTGCTACACTTCTTACAACTTCAGTGTGAGTGGGTGGGGCTAAATATGTAAATGGGGTTTTTTCTTGACATCACAAAAAAATGAATGCAAAAATGGGCGGTTTTTGCTTAGTTTTGATATATGGACGTTTGGAAACTTTAACAATGATACATACAATGATACAATAATACACACTCATCAAACTTCATTTTAAAAAAGATGTTCTTCCATGATATGGGGCCTGTTTTTATATTTAAACAATCTGTTATTTTTGAATGTTAGTGGCTTTCGTATACAGCAAATTTGATATATGCTTCTAACAAAAGGTGCACCAACAGCAGCAGGAAAAAAACAATGGCTAATACACTGTAGCCCTGCAGCATGGTAAAAGGAATAAGCATGGAGCTTTTGTCCGTTCATTTGTTTTTTTGTTTTTTTTTTTTGCATTTGGAATGACCTACTGGGGTAATTGGCGAGATCAGCATGGCTGATGGAGAGATGAAAGCGAGCTCAAAGCTTTGCTGTGAACTAGGAATAATGGCCAATGCTGGGTCTAATAGAGGCAATGATGCAAACCTACCTCATGCCAACACAGCCATTTTAGGAAGCAGGCAGCCAGCTTCTCCATCAAGATGGCTTCCTCGCACACAAGCCCCTCGTTCTGGGCTCCAATCTTCAGCATCTGGGGGGAGTGGGGGAGTAGGGGGTAGGTGGGGGTGGTCCGTGGCAACTGGCAGCAGCCTCTTTGTCCCCACTGGCACACAAGCTGCAGCCTCTTGCTCATCGTTTTTTTTTCCCTCCCGGTCCCCTCTCTGGGGGCACACATGGCACTAAACGCTTCCGTTGATGGTGGGAGGGGAGGGGGCTAGTGAAAGGAGGATGAGAGTTGACCATTATTTTCTATTCTTTCATTTGGGTGGTTGTGCCATTTTTTTTTCCTGTCGTGCTCCATCAAGACAGTGTGAATGGCCTGGCAGTCACTATGGGGGGAAACAAGAAAGTAAAGCACAATAAAAAAAGCCCCCTTTTATCACCGCCAAAAGCGGATGTCATGGCAACTACCGTATAATCTGTCTTTAGAGAGGAAAAAAAAAATCAAGGAACAAAATAACTGTAATTCCTTTGTATTCTATGCAAAGCAACTTCACCATAAAGAACTTGACGATTGCTCAGCTTCACCATTTCTTCTTCAATAAAGCTTCTTTGCTGCTCTCATAAGTGGATTGTATGTTGTTAACACTAAACGTAGTAATGTGGATTGCGCAACAGCTTTTTGAATTCTGCTAGCTAGTTGCGTGGTTGATGTGGCAGTCGCAGCACAGGTGTACTAAATCAGCTTCAAGATCAATTGCTGTCCACCCATAATTTCATCGCACGAGCCTTATTCAATTTAGCTGGGTAACCAGTTTAGCTGGAAAAGATCATTGTTAATGAATGATGACAAAATTTCTTTGCACACATTAATTTTACATAACAGTAATATGTAACGTGATAGTGACCCATACGTTTTTATCATTACCGAGACGGAGACAGACATATAATTTCCTCTCTCTGATCATTTATCGCATTGAAACCCCCCCACCATCCCTCCTGGTCTAATGTCCTGGAGTCATTCCGACTGCGTATTCCGAAGCATGCCAAAAGACATTCGAATTCTGTCTCAGTCTCTTTGATTTTATCTATGATTCATACCAAATATATTTTGTGACTTTAACGTGGCATCATTGAGTTCTGCGCATTAGCTTTAGTTCCACATCATCAATGAATGTGGCGAGTGCACTTTTTGATAGATGATAATAACTAAACTCATGCATTTAATGCAAAACACAAAATATCACGTTATGTAATATTTTGTGCAATAATCACTGGCATGGAACTAGAACAGATGGTCTTTTCGACTGTGACCTCTATGTTTCAGTAAGCCAGTCAAATCTCTGAGCACCAAGGCAGTACGGAAAAGTGATTTTTTTTCATTTTGGAAAAGCATGGGAATCTGGCAGTGCTGTTTATGTTGACACGAAGTGTCAGAGGATCTGTGAATGTCGGTGCTCAGGTGAAGGGCGGGTCAGAGAGCGGCAGCAGATACACACACAAGTTTGTTTTTGTACCGTATCAGAACAAGGGCCTATATGAATTATATATCATATAATCTAATCTATATATCAAGTATCTATATGTAATGTAAAATGCAACATGTCCTTCATTTTATATATATATATATATATATATATATATATATATATATATATATATATATGTGTGTGTGTGTGTGTGTGTGTGTGAGTACCTGTATGTAATAATAATATATAAAAGTACCTATGAGTAATAAGGTCCCATATATGTATCCATATGTACTGATAATATGCCCCATACGTATTACTATAATCTATATCTATATCTATCTATATATATATATATATATATATATATATATATATATATAGATATATATATAGATATATATATAAATACTTACATGTAAAAAAGTCTCATATACATTAGTAACAATAATGTCGTATGTTACATATGAATGTAAATATATAATGATATGTATGTATGTACCCATACATATGTCAAACACGTTATATATATGTAAACATCTATATGTGATAATAATATATCCCAAGTAACACCTCACATGTACTAGTACCTATTAGTACCTATAGGTAACAATAATGTCCCATATTACATATGAACATAAACATATGTAATGATAATATGTATATATGCATCTATACATATGTCAAATATGTGTTATTATATATAAGCATTTATATGCGATAATAGTCAAATGTGCCAAATATATTTTATGTAAATATTAGAACTGACTCTCTGAGTAGCAAACAAATGGTCAAAAATAAACCATTGCATTTGTAAGCACAGGCTCATCTAGTTGGTCCAGACATTTTTTGTAAGCCCTTTTCTCTGATTTTCCTACCAAGTCAGAACATTTTGTCCTGAAAACGTGCAAAAACAAAACAGTACAAACACACACACACAAAATGACATGAAACAGATTGACAGGCTTTTAGCAAACAGAATGAATGCCAACAGGTAAAGATGCTGGGGCAGATGCTGAAGTTTTTACCTTTTCTCCTTTGTATAAATGTCATTTTAGAATAAAAATTCTGCTCGTAGGGAGCACAAAGCTAAAGCTAGACTGAACCTGCCTGAGCCGCACTCAAACACACAGCATTGATGTGGGTCAGACTGGCACTAGCGCAAACCCGTAGCCACGCTCGCCGTTTTGGTATTTCTGCTGCTTGCTGGAGGAGGCCCTGCTCTTTTGTACGCTGCCATGCTGCCAGGGTGCCCCAGTGAAATGCCTATGGAGTTTTAGACATGTCACTTTTTTTGTGTGTGTGTAGTGTTTTGTAGTCGTACTGCTGGTTAACCACACAACAGCTATCATCTCCACTCAAATACTGCACTGTGGTCGATTCTGTACTTACTAGATGGTATTGTTCCGCTGCATGGTCCTCCGGTCTCTCACAAAGACACTACGGTCAGGATGGAGCTGTGGTTTGGGAGACAAACAAAAACATGACTTTATGCAACATTCGGAGCATTTTAAACATAAAACACCTTTTGAGAATGAAAAAAAGAAAGACTTGCTAAAAATATCTTATAAAACCATAAATATTAATTTCAATGATTTTTAAATAATGTTCATCTGTGAAATATTCAACTTCTCTTAGAGATAAGTGAAACACAGCAACCCACAGCTTACATGCTTTTGTCAAGTAAAAATGCATTGGTTTACATTGTGACTATACAATATTGGGTAAAATTAATTCAAATGTTGAAGATATGCCTATTATTCCGATTTTAGCAGGTCTAAATAGTACTTGTAGCAACATTTCAGTGCATTCACTACTTCTACAACTGGATATCAGTTTACATCTAAAAGACAATGTTGATGTTTTCTTTTGTGTGGTTAATATGACTAACCACTAACCACTGACCACACAGGCCTCAGCCAGCGGCTGCATACAATATCAGTCCCACCATGGAGCCACTGCTTTCTGGGTGACCTCGTTAAAGACTTTTTGAAGCACGAATATAGTGCAGTAAACACACAGGCTATTTTAGATCATTTTAAATCTGTTGCTTTACAGCAATAAAGGCTGGTTTGTAACGTTACCTAAACTTGACAAGTGCCTGCACATGTGACTCGTTACTAAAGCATTTAAAACAGCTTTACTACGCAGACAAACCACCACTACTGCGCTTAAGCTACGGTGACGTCACCGTCATCACTGTAATCAACGCAATTAATGAAATGAAATCCTACAATGCTGATTTCTATCGCGCGAGCTGGTCGCGTAAAATGAAGTGCGTCCAGCAATTAGTGCAGGGTGCGGTTTCGCTTTGCCTTAAATACAGCGATAAGGCTACACTCTCTGCGTGCGCGTGGGTGGGGGAGAGAGTGTGGCGCGCGCAAGAGCCAATCTAAAACGCTACTGATCCAGCCCTGGGGTCTCTAAGCCCTCTCAACAAGTCTGGGAACAAAACCGTCGCCTCGTGGGAAACCCTCGTGCTGGCCATTCACAAGGCTGTCCCAATTAAACCAATCAGAACCAGCTCTGGTCATCCAGGACGGCCAATTATATTTGAGTATCTAGATCTAACTAGATCGCTGACGCAGACTGATTATGTGCATTCTATAAGTTCCAAAAGGAACAAGTGCATGATTCCCTAGTTAGAACGCAAGCCTAATGTTCTAGACTTACGCACAAGAGCTAGAACTCTAGGCATCCACTATCTACGTGTTCTAGAACTCCACTACACCTGCTACGTATTCTAGTATTCAATGCATGAGCTAAGCATGGGGGCGGGCGATACTGGAAAAATATCACGATTCTTCTAGACGTTTTCAGGAGACACATCACAATGTTTAGTTGTTCTGAGATTTAATAAATTGTAACAGACAAAATAGAAGCTGTAGTGTCGCGTATAAAATACTATAATAATAATAATAATAATAATAATAATAATCCACTGCCAGCTACAATTTTTTTCAGTGTTTTAAAAAACTGCACTAAATCTAATTAAACAGACCTGATTATGCGCACTTTGTAATGAAACATATAGTTGGTCAGTGCTTGTAAAGTACTGGCGATATCTACAATATGCTCAGAAAAATGTGACATAAATTATCACGATAACGATAAAATATAGTCACATTGCCCACCTAAGCATTCTTGAATTTTACACCAGCTGAGCAGTTTAGAATTCTATGCGTCAGCTTAGCACAGTGTTCTAGCACAAGGGTTCTCAACTTTCTCCACCTCAAGGTCCACCTATTCATCACTACACGAAGGCCCACAGGGAAAAAACTCTTTTTTTTTTTTTATTTAAATTTCATTTTTGGGAAAATTTCAACACGGCAATGTTTGAGTGCCTTAAATGTAAACATGGTGGCAAATTAAGTGGAATTTTTTACAACACATCAGTTGCTCGCGAGTGAACAGCTGAGATGTGGGGTGTATTTTGTTTTTAACGCTTTCGTGCGCCGTAGCTGCATTGAAAATTTATTTTTTATCGTTAAGTCAATTATATCACTGAATCTAAGACAAAGTGCCTTCACCGGCCCACTGCGGACTACTGGTTCTCTTCAGTACTGGTCTGAGGACCAGCAAAGGGTGCTTCGCGGCCCATTTGTGGTCCACGGCCCACTACGCACTGGCTACGCATTCTAGAATCTACACCAGCTGAGCGCTCTAGAATTACACACTACGCTCTAGCTAGAACACAAGCAAGCTTAGTGTGCTGGAGGGCAGCCGGAATCCTGTACTGAGGGTCCCTGTAGGCCTGATCGCTGAGCGCGGTTCAGGCTCTAATCCGCGCCGCTGGCTGAGAGACAGACAGACAGAGAGAGAGAGAGAGAGAGAGAGAGAGAGAGAGAGAGAGAGAGAGAGAGAGAGAGAGAGAGAGAGAGAGAGAGAGAGGAGGTTCCGAGTCTGGAATTCTGCTCGAAATACAGCAGCTGCCTGTTGGGTTCTGTTCTACAGAGGCGATTAATGAGCAGAAGAGAAGCGAGGCTGACTAGAGTCGGTGTGTTTGGACTTTGGAGACTTTGGACCACAAATTATCAACGTACTTCAGAAAATGCATTACAATCATTTCAGGCGCGTTAATTTGTCAGTTGTCCGCTGCTAAAGGCTTAATTTAACACAGGACCGTAGCACTATGTGCTGCGCTCTCTCTCTCCCTCTCTCTCTCTCTCGCTATCTCTCTGCTCGTGCGTGTAAAAAAAGTTGACTTTGCAATTAAACCTCAAAGCGGCCGAGACCATCAATAATCATTAGCAATATAATTTTGGAAAAAATAAAATTAAACCAATCTATTTGGTATTATTATATAAACACTACTATTAACCGATCTAGAACTGAATGCACGAGCTAAGCATTAGGGGTGGGCGATATTGGCAAAATATTATATCACGATACTTCTAGACGTTTATATAATAATTATGTGTATAAAATAACTGTGTAATAATTGTGTCTTACCATGGCAAGGCACTGACTCGTTCTATTTACTTTGTCTTTTCTAATTTCTTTTTTATGTCTTTTATGTCTTTATGTCTTTCAAAAGATTGGCTCAATTGTTTGATAAATTAATTTAAATAATAATTTATATACACTAATTGAGGGGTTAACAAGGTATAATATTTCGCCTGTTTAAAAGTGGTTTAAATGACATTGCAAATAATTTAAAACGTATAAGGTCTAAGATGTGAAAAAATTATTAAGGCCCACTCAGACCCTGCCATCTGCAGATTAGGCCTCTGAGATGGCAGCCTGAATAATCCGAATTAATCTGCATTAATCTGAATTAACGGTCATTACTCAGGCCTCACAATTCTCATTATTAAAAAGCGTCAGAATCGACGCTGCTTACCTTTCAGAGCGTCCATGCGCACGCGCCTCTGTCCTGCAGCAGAGGAGGCCGTTCCTACTTTCGGTTATCTAGCTTTATGATGGCACGTAAACACTCATACAGCTAGATAACCAAAGACAGCAGCAGCCTCCCTTCACAGTGCACTCAGCGCCGAGCAGCTCGCGCACACACCTGACCAACACAGCAGAGGTTAACACATGCGGGAGAGATGCGCTGAGCTGTGCACGTGGGCTGGAGGACCCTCACTTCATCCTCCAGACGCGCCCCTGCACGTGCATATTAGCAGTGTTGCTCTGGTTTATACAACTTGGCCACGTATTTAATATCATTCCTCCAACACTCGTGCACACATCAGAGCACACTTAAAAAGATGGTTGTTCTGCTGTTACAAGCTGAGCACTATAACAGAAGCAGAAGCCTTTTTGGTGCTATAGAGAACCACATAGCACACACTCTCAATCAAGAACCATTGAAGCATTATATATATATATATATATATATATATATATATATATATATATATATATATATATATATATATATATCCAACTCGTAGTTCTAGACAGAACCATTGTCTTTACTAAAGAACCCTTGACGAATCATCTTTTTAAGTGTGTTGTGTTATTCCCATTTTTCCCATTGAGCAGTAAGACACATTTTTGTATTTTGTACGAAAAATGAGGATAAAGGTGTATAAAACTTGTACTTTTCGTCCATACTGCCCTCAAAATCATCAGAAAACCACCAATATGATCGCTGATTTGGAGCGTTAGTTATACTCTCTGCCACAATTTAACACGAATAAACTGAATATAAAAGAAAATCAGTCTTGTGTGAGCAGGTCAGGGTTGTATCTGAGGCTCTGTTAGGCCCTCATTACTACAGTAAAGTTTATCAGCTACGACCCTCCAACACTTAGAAAATATCTGTATAATATTTTAAACATGATCAATTTTAGTTTGTACTTATCAAGCCTCTCGCTTTAGTAAGAAAGAGCAAACCTCAGTATAGGATTTTTTTTCTTTTTAAAATTAAAATAGTAACAAAAAAATGTTAAATAAATGACATCATTTATATGTAATATGTAATTATAAGTAATAAAAATAAAACAAGTGAAATAACAAAAGCAAAAAAATAAATAAATAAAACGAAGCAAAATACAACAAAATCAAAGGCTGCGGGTCGTCTGGCCGCGTGACGTCATTGCGTCTAATTGGTCTACCTGTTGTGCTTGCACGTAAGGCACGTGACTCTTATTTAATTTGAAACTTACAACAGATTTGTACACGCAGTAATTAGAGAGCATATAAGCCCACCTCACCTGCTCACATCAGGATTCTGCACCAAATCAAGACATTAACAATGTACAGCTTCTACCTTTTATTTTTGCTTAAAAGACTTTTTCTTAGATTTGTGCTAAACAGCTAAAATAATGACTCTGAACTCAAATGAATGCGTAACTTTTTTATTACTTCAGTATTTTGTTAGCTGTATAAAGGCCTGTGTCGCTCGAGCTTTGAGTCCATAGAAAGATTTCCAGTGTTCTATCAGGCTGATGGGTTTAAACACACACATCTTTGTTCCAATGCAAATAACTGATATTGCTGAGAAGTGCAAAGCTAATTTAATTACTTACCCACCAGCTAATTTATGATGAGCCTGATATCCATCATTTGCAGATACTATCAGCACTCACTCTGGCCTTGTGCGTTACATAGTCAATGATATAAGCGAGTGCTGACATGCACAGCTCAGAATGCATAGACAAACGTCCAGAATGGAACAACCACAGTTTAGCATTGACACCTATGTTGATGAATCAACGCCTACAGTGCTGAATTAAAACCTACAGTGATGGATTAACACGTATATTGTCTATGTAAGACCAGCTGGACGCTAATGAAACAGTGCAAAAGTGAATTTAACTCTGTGTTAATCCAACACCGTAACTTTACAACTTCAGAAATGTAATGAGCGACTAGAAAGGGAGAAGAAGTCGTGACAGTGAAAGACGATTAATGACAACAGTTATCTCTTACTTTTTATGATGCCCTCCGTGCTCGTCTGTGTCATGGCCAGACTGAGACAGACTGAGACTGAGCTGAGAGGCGTTCAGGTGGCACATTTCGAGGCTCCGTGTGTGAGACGATGAAGATTTCAACGCTGTTCAGCACTTAATCAACACAGACAAGCAAAAAACACCACCAGCAGCTTCATCATCATCATTATCATCATCAGGATCGTTTCCCTCTCCGGAGCTTTTCGAGCCTCTTTACAGATCCAGTGAGCAGAAGCTGCCAGTTTATTTCCAACCCGGGTTATTCGTGACAAAAACAGAACACCTCAGTTCGCGCTCTCTAAGCTCACTTAAGAACAATCTACACTCATCCTGTCAGTCCGTCGTCTTCAAGCGCTGGAACATCGGTCCATCCATCCCTCGTCTCTTTCTCTCTCTCTGTGCCTGTGCTCCTCTCCTGCTCTCACTCTCCAGTTTTGCTCTAATCGCCTCCAGCTCAGTCACTTCTCTCCTGCAGTGACGTCACCGAGGCAGCAGGGCTGGCGGGCGACCAATCCGAGACAAGGAAAAAAACACGCGCGACCAATCAGAGAGGGAGCAAGAGAGAGAAGCGCACCAATCACAGAGCAGGAGGAAAAAAAAAACAATCACGGAGATGCAGATAGCACGAGAGAGGACGGAGCGTTCATACTCTCTCTCTCTCTCTCTCTCTCTCTCTCTCTCTCTCTCTCTCTCTCTCATCTATCTATCTATCTATCTATCTATCTATCTATCTTCCCCCACATTGGCATGTAGCTCTACTGTCGCCCAATTAACTAAAACTCAATGACTGCCCAATTGTTGTTTCCCACAGCCTTCAAAACAGGAGGTTCTTCAAGGGTTTTTTACGTGAATGATTAAATGGTCCTTGCATGGTAAAATGTTCTCTTCTATGAAGGTAAACGTGTTATAAATGGTCCTTAAAAATTCTTTTTAGTGGTTCTAAATAGCATCAAAAATTGTTCTGCTTTTGTTAAAAATCATAGAACTCTTTTTGTGCTATATATACTCTCAACGAACATGGTTCTATAGAACACAAAAAGAAAATTTTGTTTTCACTTTTAGCAGTAGTGGAACCCCTTTGGTTTGAACTAAATACAGCAGATTTTCCAACATAGAGAAGAACCACTTAACCATGGCCAAAGAAAATACATTCACATGGTTCTTTGTGTTCATGGTTCCGTACAAAATCACTGAAGAACCCTTGAAAAAAACATTTTTCATGGACATTTAAAGAATGGTTCTCTTACTAAAGGCAATGGTTATATACAGAACAGTGACAACTCAAGGAACCATATGAATGCAAAATGGTGCGGCTGTTGTTACAAGTCATATTTTTTTATGTTACTATATAGTATCAAAAGTAGTAGTACCATAGTACCAAAAAAGGGCTCTATGCCTTACTCTCAGCTTTTAACAACATGGGAACCTTTTTTGGTGCCTTTTCTTTTTAATAACCTTTTACAAAAGATTTTTAATTTTACAGTAAGCAAATTAACCATACAAAGAACTACTTAAACATTTATAAAGGTCAAAAGGTTTGATTATATATATATATATATATATATATATATATATATATATATATATATATATATACCCATTGTCTTTATAAAAGAACCCTCAAAGAACCCAGTTTTTCAGGCATCTCATACATAGTCTTACAGCCAAGGATGTGTATCAACCACGCTTTTAAAAAGGTTTCTAAATAGTTCTCGGCTTTGTTCTTGGTCCAGGACATCCTGTAACTGGTATAGAACCTTTACATTATATTTAGAGATTTCCTCAAAAGAGCTGTCCATTAAAAGCTGCTTCAGAGAACCAAAGTAGTTCTTTTGTGGCATCGCTCCAAATAGAAGAGCAGAGAACAGAAGTGAAGCCAGAGGAATCTACCCATAAGCTGATATACTGAGGTGTAAAATTCCAGTATTAATTCTTTCTTTTAATGCCTCTTTTTCTTTCTTGTGATGGAACTACTGAGAACACAAAACTAGCTTTAATAGACTAATACTAATAATGCGGATACATTAATTGTAAGAAGGCCTAAGCACGTACACAATTTACACAGTCACATTCTTTATGTGTGGGTTTTCCAGACCCAAGTAAGTCTAAGGCTAGACTAAAAAGACGTTCAAATGGTGATTCGCCATTGGCACTGTAATTTAGTCCAAGACTAGGCTCAATCCATGTCTGGGAAACTAATATAATATTAACTAATAAACTAATATTAGAGATTAGGTTTAGATAAATCTCACACTAATAAGCTTGAGCTACATCTACTTAATGTATTAAAAGCGAATCACTGATGTTCTGCCCAGCTTATGGTTTTTTAAGCATTTTTGACCAAATGTTTTATTATAGCCATCATACCAACATACACACCATACACAGATAATATATATATAAAATGTAGTTAGTCTATACATCTAAATGGGTTTAACTAAGGACACTGTGAAACATATATGTCAGTGAATAGACGTGAAAACATGAAAATCTTCATTAAAGCTGATTTTCTTGGCATCTGCTAAACCTACGTTTTTTGAAGGTTATCATGTTATCTGTGTTCTTGCATCACATTTTTATTCAACAGTCATGTGTAAAAGTCAGAGACAACCTGTATTTTAAAAGCAGAATATACAAAATTAACAGAAAATTACACATAATTCACCTAACTAAACTAAACATCAGCAGTTCAGTGTTAACTGTGTCCACCCTTGTCTTTATTACAGCTTTCATTCTGTTCTTGAGACTCGCTTTCAGTTTTTGAAAGAAACCTGCAGGGATATTTCTCCACACCCCGAAAGTTCAGTCTTAGAAATTGGTTGCATTTTCTGCTTCCCACAATCCAAACAATCCCCAATACAGATTTGTGGGTTTTCTCAGATTTGAAGCAAGAGTGGAGCTTGATTGTCTCTCAAAGATGAAAGATTTATCTGATGGGCAGAGTTAAGAGTCTCAATTCCCCTACATCTTTTTTTTTCCCAAATCTTTTTACTGCA